AGAATATAATCCTATGGGCACTCAGGGTATGCTGTGATAGCATGGCACAGGATTTATTATTGTTTATATGAAATGATTTTGTAGATCATCGTCAGGGTCACATTTAGAATATAATCCTATGGGCACTCAGGGTATGCTGTGATAGCATGGCACAGGATTTATTATTGTTTATATGAAATGATTTTGTAGATCATCGTCAGGGTCACATTTAGAATATAATCCTATGGGCACTCAGGGTATGCTGTGATAGCATGGCACAGGATTTATTATTGTTTATATGAAATGATTTTGTAGATCATCGTCAGGGTCACATTTAGAATATAATCCTATGGGCACTCAGGGTATGCTGTGATAGCATGGCACAGGATTTATTATTGTTTATATGAAATGATTTTGTAGATCATCGTCAGGGTCACATTTAGAATATAATCCTATGGGCACTCAGGGTATGCTGTGATAGCATGGCACAGGATTTATTATTGTTTATATGAAATGATTTTGTAGATCATCGTCAGGGTCACATTTAGAATATAATCCTATGGGCACTCAGGGTATGCTGTGATAGCATGGCACAGGATTTATTATTGTTTATATGAAATGATTTTGTAGATCATCGTCAGGGTCACATTTAGAATATAATCCTATGGGCACTCAGGGTATGCTGTGATAGCATGGCACAGGATTTATTATTGTTTATATGAAATGATTTTGTAGATCATCGTCAGGGTCACATTTAGAATATAATCCTATGGGCACTCAGGGTATGCTGTGATAGCATGGCACAGGATTTATTATTGTTTATATGAAATGATTTTGTAGATCATCGTCAGGGTCACATTTAGAATATAATCCTATGGGCACTCAGGGTATGCTGTGATAGCATGGCACAGGATTTATTATTGTTTATATGAAATGATTTTGTAGATCATCGTCAGGGTCACATTTAGAATATAATCCTATGGGCACTCAGGGTATGCTGTGATAGCATGGCACAGGATTTATTATTGTTTATATGAAATGATTTTGTAGATCATCGTCAGGGTCACATTTAGAATATAATCCTATGGGCACTCAGGGTATGCTGTGATAGCATGGCACAGGATTTATTATTGTTTATATGAAATGATTTTGTAGATCATCGTCAGGGTCACATTTAGAATATAATCCTATGGGCACTCAGGGTATGCTGTGATAGCATGGCACAGGATTTATTATTGTTTATATGAAATGATTTTGTAGATCATCGTCAGGGTCACATTTAGAATATAATCCTATGGGCACTCAGGGTATGCTGTGATAGCATGGCACAGGATTTATTATTGTTTATATGAAATGATTTTGTAGATCATCGTCAGGGTCACATTTAGAATATAATCCTATGGGCACTCAGGGTATGCTGTGATAGCATGGCACAGGATTTATTATTGTTTATATGAAATGATTTTGTAGATCATCGTCAGGGTCACATTTAGAATATAATCCTATGGGCACTCAGGGTATGCTGTGATAGCATGGCACAGGATTTATTATTGTTTATATGAAATGATTTTGTAGATCATCGTCAGGGTCACATTTAGAATATAATCCTATGGGCACTCAGGGTATGCTGTGATAGCATGGCACAGGATTTATTATTGTTTATATGAAATGATTTTGTAGATCATCGTCAGGGTCACATTTAGAATATAATCCTATGGGCACTCAGGGTATGCTGTGATAGCATGGCACAGGATTTATTATTGTTTATATGAAATGATTTTGTAGATCATCGTCAGGGTCACATTTAGAATATAATCCTATGGGCACTCAGGGTATGCTGTGATAGCATGGCACAGGATTTATTATTGTTTATATGAAATGATTTTGTAGATCATCGTCAGGGTCACATTTAGAATATAATCCTATGGGCACTCAGGGTATGCTGTGATAGCATGGCACAGGATTTATTATTGTTTATATGAAATGATTTTGTAGATCATCGTCAGGGTCACATTTAGAATATAATCCTATGGGCACTCAGGGTATGCTGTGGTAGCATGGCACAGGACGTATTATTTTTTCCAGTATAAGGAATCGTTTGAGGCAGGAAGTTTTGCTGACTGCGGGTTAACCAATATCTTTAGAAAAAGAAATGAGGGTCCTTCAGAACAGGATTTAATACAGATCTTTTTTAGCAAAAAAAGTCAGAGTTCATTTATTTCCCTTCTAGAGGTTTCCCGACTCTTGTAGAACTTTAGGCCTTTTCTGTGCTCTGCCAAAAGTAATTTGTTCTTTTTACTGCACATATGCCATTCTTTTGCCAACAGGCATTTGTTTTTGTTTTTTTTCTGCCCATATGTTGTGTTATATTATTTGGATTTATTAGTTACATTTTACAACTTTGTAGCTATGCTGGAAAAACGATTTATTTGTTTACGACTAGAAATGAGATGACCTCCCTCCCCCCGCAGTTAACACATATTAATATTTATTAATATTTACTGTTATTATTATTATTGCAGTGGCGTAACAACCGGGGGTGCAGCAGGGGCGCGAGCCCCGGGCGAAAAGTGAAGGGGGGGGGCGCCGGCCGAAAATGGCACTGCTGCTTCTGTCTTTCCAATTGATTTGTTTTGCTCTTTTATATTCATTTTTAGGTGTTATGCACCTCATCTGATACAGTTTAAATGTTTAATGATGCAAGAAATAAATCACATATCTTCACCTAATCACAGTACTGTTTTAAAGTGGACTTAAACTTAAACATTCAGAGACACTTGAGAAATATTGCGATGCATTCAGAGAGTGGAGAACTCAGGACTCCGCGCAGGGGTGTAGCTGCCACTCCTAGGAGGATTGGGCACTATGCAAATATAAAAAAAGAGCACAACTCCGTGTAGTGGCTGTACCCCTGCACATACATATAAGTACAGTTTAGCTTAGTGTCCTGAGGAGGTAGAGCATCCCTCTGCACCTCTGTGGGGTCGAGGCTTAGCTTCTGAAGAGTCCTCTATAAAGTAGCTTCTTAATGGTGTGAATGAGCCCTCGCATGCTCCTATCTGGTGCTGGCGTTTACAGCCCTTTTCACATATTATTTAAAAATAGGCCATTTTTTTTCATTCTAACACGGAGTTTATATCTTAAAGAAGTCCTAAACAAATGTTACTTGTCTCATAACTGGAGCACCGTAGCTTACATTACTGGGAAGGTGTGTGTTCCTATCATTAGTTGTTCTCATTGGAGTACCCCCTTACCTTGGTTGTTCCCATCACTGTACCCTCCACCTTTGTAATTAATGTAAAAGGGCACCTTAAAAGGGGTAACTAATGCAAGGGGGTACTCCAGTAAGAACAAATAATAATTAGTTGTCCACATCAGGGTGTCCCCTTAAATTGATTAAGGAAATAATGTCACCAGCACACCATTGTTGTAAATCAATGATCCATTTTAATGGCACATTGCCATCCAATACAAGCGCTTTCGGGGCCGCACAGGGTCCCCTTCATCAGGCTCAGAATGACACCTTTGGGTTTATTGCGGTAAGGAGTGCAGCAAGATATTCTTTTCCCTTAAATTGATTGTCCCCCATCGGAGTGCTCCCTTATTTTAATATTTAATGTAAGGGGGCAGTCTGATGGGGACAACCAATGTAAGGGGGCAGTCTGATGGGGACAACCAATGCAAGGGGGCAGTCTGATGGGGACAACCAATGTAAGGGGGCAGTCTGATGGGGGACAACCAATGCAAGGGGGCCATGGGCAACTGCTCCAGATTCTTTCTGTCCCAGTTTTGATCAATTCCCCCGCGGGAAGGACGCTGAGGGAGATTCCAATGCTGCAGGGAAGGGGAGGCAGGCTGAAGGGAGTGCTGTGACAGCTGTCTGTTTCTGCAGTTCGGGTGATTATATCTTTGTTATTTTAGCACCTAGACACAAGCGAGCACTTAACCCTTGCAGTGCAGGGGGGATAGCCCCACTTTAAGGGTTAATAAAAAAAAAACATTCCTGGAGTTCTTCTTGAACTAAAGAGAGAAGCTGATTGATTGGTTGCCATGGGCAACTGCTCCACATTATGTCCTCCAGTTTTGATCAATCCCCCCTTAAGTTAGGAGACGATCTTTCGTTGTTGGCCATTTGTACAAGTGCCATGTTTGTAGAGGTGAGGTGTGTCCTGGCTGTGGACATGACCTGATGGAGAGGAGCAGAGATGTGACACAGTCATAGAGGAGGAGGGGAGGAGGAGAGGAGAGGAGAGGAGGGGAGGAGGAGGAGGAGGAGGAAGTTCCACACACAGGGAGAGGAGGGGACACACGAGGAAAGAACTACAAGAAGAAATCTCCTTAAAGAGGACGCTTGTTATTCCTCCGGGAGAGGAGCCATGGTGGGACGGCAGATAAAAGGAGGGAAGGCTGACTGAGGGGATGGCAGACTTGTGTAGTCATGTAGCAGGAAGCAGAGGCTGAGTGTTTGCTGGGAGAGGAGAGGGAGCTGCTTTTTTTTTTTTCCTCCGTTGCTGGCCGGGAAGACTTTAGAGGGAAGGAGGGAGAAGATTTTGAGGTGAGGCACAGCATGCAGCTCTACAGCCCTCCCCGGCTGGGCAATATGGCTGCTGCTGCTACTGCTTGCAAGCTGTGTGCAGGCAGAGGGTACGGCGGGGGGGGGCGGGGGTCAGTCATAGAGGAGGAGGGGAGGAGGAGAGGAGAGGAGAGGAGGGGAGGAGGAGGAGGAGGAGGAAGTTCCACACACAGGGAGAGGAGGGGACACACGAGGAAAGAACTACAAGAAGAAATCTCCTTAAAGAGGACGCTTGTTATTCCTCCGGGAGAGGAGCCATGGTGGGACGGCAGATAAAAGGAGGGAAGGCTGACTGAGGGGATGGCAGACTTGTGTAGTCATGTAGCAGGAAGCAGAGGCTGAGTGTTTGCTGGGAGAGGAGAGGGAGCTGCTTTTTTTTTTTTCCTCCGTTGCTGGCCGGGAAGACTTTAGAGGGAAGGAGGGAGAAGATTTTGAGGTGAGGCACAGCATGCAGCTCTACAGCCCTCCCCGGCTGGGCAATATGGCTGCTGCTGCTACTGCTTGCAAGCTGTGTGCAGGCAGAGGGTACGGCGGGGCAGGCCGGGGCTCGGCTCCTGTACAGGCTGGACACTGAAGGCTCCTGCTGGGCCTGGAACTTCCAGAGACTCATAAGAGAGGAAGGGGGAAGCCTGAGCGATTCTTTACCCCCCCCCCTTTCATCTGTGCAGCATGGAACCCAAACACAGGGAGTTACTCCAACAGTGTCACCAGAACCTGGTGGAGTCCATCAGCGATGCAGACAGGTTGCTGAACCTCCTGGAGGAGGCTGGCACCCTCACCCTCAGGGACAGGCAAGAGCTGGACAGCAGTGGCCCTGATGACCGTGACAAAGTGGACCTCCTGCTCAAGATGCTCCTGGTGAAGGACAAGGACCACTTCCAAGACCTGCGGGTGGCCCTGGAGAAGACTGAACCCCATCTCTTGTCCATCCTTTACTTGAATGGCATGGGAAGCGAAGACACGGCAGGTGAGAGGTCGGGTGACCCGTACGGAGGAACGAAACTCGCCCTTTCTGTTCCCCACTGAAATTGGGTGACATAAATTGGTGTCATGGCAAAGGCCAAGCTCAAGTATAACTAAAGGACAAACTTTCTTTTAGATTTGGATAGAGTGGTGAGGGGTTAGAACCTCTTCTGTTACTGTTGTCGGTGTCCCTGGTCTCTGATTGTCCTGATGTCATTGAGAATGATAGTGAGGGTGAATCCAAAGAACAGGAATAGAGGGGAAATCTTCCCTTGGGGACACTTGTTCTGGTGACAGCTGTGTGAAGCTGACCGTATAATTAGTATGTGGGGCTGAATGAGAAAGAACACTCAATTCCCACATTCATACTAAACGGTGTGGATGAGGGAACCTTCCCTGACAGCCACTGTATTCTGACAGCCAGGACCCGCAGCTGTCGCCGTACAGCCAACAATCTTCGGCCAAGCTCCTTTGACAAAAGTCGATAATACAAAATCGACTTTCATTGAATGGAGTTGCGCCAGCAAGGCTGCCCACAGTTCAAATCCTGCTGCGAATTCTGAGCGGTGTACGGCCAGTTTAAGAGCTTGTTCACACCACGGGGGAGAATTCACAAAAACTGGATCAGTTGTCCACGGCAACCACTCAGCTTCTCTGTTTAATTTTCAAAGCTTAACTGAAAAAAACTAAAGAGGGAAGCTGATTGGTTGCCATAAGAAAACTTTCTGCTCCACTTTTCATGAATCTCCACTCCTGTCACTTGATCTGTTATTTTTCTGCACGCCACCGCACGTGTTTGGAGGAGAACTATGGGGTCAGTGTTTTTCCCCAAAGTTCTTCTTAGGGTAACGGGAGGACACAAACTAACTACCCACTTAGACGACGGGATCCGCCCAGCTGCGTGAGTGACAGCTGGCTCTGCCTATCTAGAGGCAGAGCCAGCTGTGCCCGCCCCCTCCCCCGTCCGTTCCGCCAGTCAGCGCTGGCAGATCGGAGAGGGGAATCCAGCCCCTCCCCCTGTCACGGCAGAGAGCCGTGACAGGATTGAGAGGTGAGCGAACCCGGTATGTGTTCGCTCACCTCCCGATCTACTGAGCCGACCTGTGACAGTCTCATTGTCACAGGTCAGCTAGAACTATGAGGTGAGTGAAAATCACTCATCTCATAGTTCTCCTTTAACAGGGCAAATTGAAGAGAATGCTTTTCTATGTCATGTGACCTGTTCACGTCATACATGCGCAGAAAAACAAAGCTTACCAGACATGGAGAGAACACGATCTTAGAGGGGATCCCCCCCCCCTCCCATTGGAATGATATCCTCTCACTTCCTGTGAGTCTACAATATAGGAAGTAAATGGAAATCTCCGTAATGAGGAAATGAAAACTGACAGCGGTTTTAACCTTCCCCCTACTCTGTCCAAAGTCGGGGGGCGTTTTGTGTTTTGATGCACGTTAAAGTGAGTTTTCAAGTGTGTCCAAAGTCAAGACCTTTTCTTTAAGTTTTGGATGGGGTAGTGAGATAATGAATGAGTTTGATTTGATTTCTTGTTTTGCAGCCTGTGTCCTTTTTTGGGGAGATTTTCTGTCACTTCTTGTCTCAGAAACACCCAAAGTAAAGAAAATCCTCTTGTAGTTTGTCACCTAAATAAGTGTCCTCAATGGAAGATCTCCCCTCTGTTCCTGTTCTTAGGAAACTTAGAATTTCCCCTCAGGCCCCATTCACACTGAGCGATTTATCGAGCGATTTTTGCAGCGATATCGCTCTATGTAGCTTCTCCAATCCATTTCAATGGAGCTGTTCACATCTCGCTGTTCACATCTCGTCGCTCAATATCGCTCAATATCGCTTGTAGCTCCTACATGACCCTTTTTTCGAGCGAATTCGAGCGATTTTGCTCCTGATTGCATACAGCCCAATAGGGAAAAAATCGCTTAAAATCGCTCAATATCGCTCGTCGCTCAGTGTGAATGGGGCCTCACTTTCATTGCCGGTGACACTGGTGGCCAGGACAATCACCCAAACAGGGACACTGACCTCAATGACAAAATCGGGTTTGTGGATTTCCCTTCTTTTCTGATGACCATGGTCACACTTCAAAATAGAGAGGGCGAATCTCTCCAGTGGGGGCACCGACAGCAATATGAACATGACTGGGTACTAACCTCTCTCTGCTAGATTCAAAACAACAAAAACTTTGTCGTTCTGCATTGTAATGCTAACCGCATGTTATGTCCCTTAAAGCAGAACTCCAGACAAATCAAATCTTAACCCTTGCAGTGGGGCTACCCCCTCACTAAGTGCTTGTTTTGCCAGGGAGCTAAAATAAAGTTATATTAGCCCGAACCGCGATCCTGTCCGGCTCCTACACCGCTCCCTCCAGCCTGTCTTCTCCGCTCCAGTGTTGGAATGTCCATCAGCGTCCTCACATCCTATACACTCTGTATAGAATGTGATGACACACAGGATCAAGTGGAGGGGGAGCAAGGCTGTGTGGACCGGTCTAAGAGCCAGCTGGAATTGCGGTTCGGGTGAGTATAACTGCTCTCTAGACATAATGTTCACTTAACCCTTGCGGTGCTGGTGCCGCCCCACTGCAAGGGTTAAGCTTTGATTTGCCCGGAGTTCTTCTTTGATGAAGGGGACCCTGCGAGGCCCCGAAAGCGCTTGCCAATGAGATACAGCTATTGGCAATAAAATATTTTGCTTTTTCAACTCATGGTGTGCTGGTGACATTTTTCTACTGTACATGTGTGGCGGTGCCATCCGCAGTCATTTCGAGCACCCATCTTCATCAAGTGGGAATCCCGGTAAGGAGTGCGGTATGGTTTCTGTTTCTGTTTATTCTTCTTTAAGATAAGACCACCCATTCCAAGAGGTTGTGCAGCAGCCACTCTTACTGCGATCAACTATTCGGTAGTAAGGTTGTGGCCGAGTTTCTTTCGTTGTTTTATTGCTTTACTAGAAATCTTTACATTTGTTAGTAGCAATATTTACAGTAGACGTCAGTTTTATTTTCTAAAGAAGACTTTGTCATCTTCACCTTTGTTACAGATTTTCTTTTGGATCAAAGCGTGTTTTTGTTTTTTGCCAAGTTCTGTGTTAATTTCTTCAATAACAAAGCCTGTTCTTCTCCGGTGACGGCACTAGAGAAGTTCTGCAGCTTTCTGCATCTTCTTAATACACATGCCATCTTTTCCATGCACTTCTAAGTGCTTACATATGGAGCAGAAAGTGTGTTTTGATGTAGAAAATGGGAATATTAAACCGAGTTGTGGTAAAACAAGCAGCGAAGGCATTGTTGTTATGTGAAATACAAGTAATGTGTTTGATCCCAGTTACACAATAAGTAAGGGAATACCAATGTTCTTTGTTCCTGATTTCACTGCTATAAAAGATGTAGGTAAACAGTACAGCTATATGGGCGACTTTAATCACTAGTCAGAGAGAGATTTAACTCCTTGGTGACAGTTTCTTCATTTGCAGGGCTCTGATTTCAGCTCACTGACGTCAACAAAGGATTTATTTTGTTGTGTGAACCATTACATTCACCTATGGGAAGCAACTTAAAGCCAAGCACCAGCCATTTTTTTATGGTTTGGATAGAGTGGGGAAGGGTTGGGGTTCTATATTCATTTTTAATTCTGGCAAGGTTTTCCTTTTTACCTCTTGTTTGGACAGGAAGAGAAATCTCAACCAAAGGGGACACAGACAAGACCCATTTTAGTACAGTGGGGAAGGGTTAGAACCTCCTGACAATGTTTTTATTTCTATGCATACTTTCCTCTCCTGATGACTGCTAAACCGTTCATTCCTCGCATGTATATCCCTGGGAAAGGTTCCCCAAGGGTAAGAACCTAACAGGTTACTTCATCTTTTCCCAAAAAATTAAAAGGTAAACTAACTGACAACATTCAGCCCTCATTGGCCCTCTCGTTTATTTTGTTGTGCTGACCAGTCACTGCTTCCCATTGCAACCATTATGTTGCCTTTACAGCCTCCAGGGCTGTGTTGTGCCGAGACCATTATATAGGCTGGTATGGGTGAGGTTCACCTTTTCCTTTTTTTTATTTTTTATGAAAAGGTGAACAAACCCTTTAATTCTTCCACACTCTATCCAAAGTGGTTAGCACTTCTGCCTTGCAGCACTGGGGGTGCATGGTTCAAATCCCGGTCAGGACACTATCTGCATGTTCTCCCTGTGCTTGCATGAGTTTCCTCCGGGTATTCCGTTTCCTCCCGTACTCGCCTCGTAGGTTAATTGGCTCCTGTCTAAATTGTCCGTCTGTCTGTCTGTGAGATGGGGACCTTGGATTGTAAGCTCCTTGAGGGCAGGGACTGATGTGACTGCACTGCGTAAATTGCTATATAAATACCAATAATAATAATGGGATATTTTTCATGTATATGTAATCTTGAATTATCATAAGTGGGGTTATTCATTAAAAAGTTGATTCCTAATAGATGGATCTTATTTGCCACATGCTTGTTTAATAAAAGTGTAAAATACCAGTGTTTAAAATGCTGTATGCCTTAGCAGCCACTGATATTTCAGTGGACATTGAACTGTGATCACTAGCTACGGGTTGTCGGCATTGCATAGTGATGTTTGCCCTGTGGAGGAAGGCAATTGTGATCATAATTCATGTTTGGAAGGGGTCATATTCTGGTTCCGGCATCAATAGTGTGATCATTTTACTCAGTAAACCTTCTTTTTTTTTTTTTTTAAAAGGTTGCAGGAAAAATTCTCCCTGTTAGTGAAGCAGCTGGAAGTGCTGACTCTACAGTCTCCAGCTAATGTTCCTTTAGTGAACAAACAGAACATGGCACATTTCCAGTGGTCGTTTTCTGTAAGCAGTATCTTGTAAATACCATCAGGGTGTAGCGGTACCCGGCAACTGTATGTACTGCTTTATAGTAAAGATCCTTCATTCTGACTAGGGCTGACCCACTTTTAGGCTTTTATGTTTTAAGCCCCTAGACCCAGGGGTAGGCAACCTTGCACC